AATCACCCGTCTGTGATGTCCGGCGGTTACAATCAGGGATGATAGGAATCGTTCGTCTAAGATATAGGACAGTAACAGTCACGGATTTTAGGAATCATCCGTCTATGATGTCGGACAGTTACAGTCAGGGATGACAGGAATCACCCGTCTGTATTGTCGGACAGCTACAGACAAGAATGGCTGGAATCACCCGTTTACAACACCGGACAGTTACAGGCAGGGATGGTGGGAATAATCACATGTCTGGGATTTCGGACAGTTGCAGTCATGGATGATGGGAATCACCCGTCTATGTTGTCAGACAGTTAAAAATCATGGATGATTGGAATCAACTGTCTGTGATATCGGACAGTTGCAGTCAGGGATGATGGAAATTACCTGTCTGTGATGTCAGACAGTTACAGTCAGGGGTGAAGAAAATCACTCGTTTGTGATGTCAGACGTTTACAGTCAGGAATGATTGGAATCACTCGTCTGTGATGTCGGACAGATGTGGTATGGGATGGTGGGAATACTCACTTGTCTGTGATGTTGGACAGTTACATTTAGGGATAATGGGATTCACCAGTGAGTAATGATGGACAGTTACATTCAGGGATGCTGGATGTTACTTCTCCACCTTGTTTATTTTCAAAGGTGGGGTCCGAGCCGCTGTTTCTCGAGTTGCATTCCTCTCGTCCCCGTCTGTGGCTTAGCCGTTGCAAACGTTCTTCGTAATGCCAGGGTGCCGGATTCGATCCCACCTGCGGACGATTGCTGATGTGCGTTGGTTTCCACCGTGGTTCCGAGAGCTGACTGCTGAGAAGCAACGACAAACTGTTGAACGTAAAATGTGCCTAGAAAAATCAATAACAACTAAACACATGTTGACATTGGTTCTGCAACGACCTGGGGTGTAAAAAGTCATGTTGTTTAAGTAGTGAAGCTAATTTATTCACTAAAAATGTAAAATGTAAAGTCGGGAGATACTGAACGTAAAATTTGCCTAGAAAAACCACAACAGCCAAAACATGCTGGGGTTGGTTCTGCAACGTCCCGTAAAGGTTTGAAAAAAAAAAAAGATAAAGTCGGGAGATGTGAACCAGCGTCATTGCACACGGTTATAAACCATAAGTGCTCTGCCACCAGTACGGACAGCTAATAAGAAACTGTCCGCCTGTGTCGCCGTTGGCACGTAACTCTGTAGCTACAGCGATGTTCCTCCATTTTCCCCAGAGTGTCACTCTGGTACCCATTTCCTAGAGGTTAACCCTGAGAACCGCCCGGTTTCGAACACTGACAGTGACTGCAGCGAGTCGCAGCTGGATTTGAAAGCGAGCCTCCTATTGACTAGGCTAACGCAGCTCCCATTTATTAACTAATAACACAAGAAGGTATATGACTACAAATACCAGTATTCATGAATACGCTGGAATAAGACCGTGTCTAAATTATATTGACATGTAAAGAATGAATTGGTTTGGCCATCTAGTAAGATTGCAGCTAGGCCAAATTAAACGTGAGACTTGTTACAGCAGAACATCGGGGAGGAAGGCGAGCGAGAGATGGACAAATCGGTTGCTGAATCATACAAGAAGAGAAACAAATCCATCACTTGAGCCACCTGAGAAATCAAATACAGAAAACCACGACAGTAAGCCGATATCAGTGAGACGACAGAGCAAAACAAGAAGTAGAAAGAGAGAATGAAGACTTAATGTATTTAACAGACGTTAAAAAAAAGTAAAGTCCCTTTTCCAGGCCTTTGGGCGTATAGGACATATAGGACTAACCCTATATTTTTATAGACCAATCGGCACAAGATGGAGCGATGTGGTCAGCATCACGCTGGCCTCCTTTCCTTTCCAGGACTGCACTCGGTACCAACTCAAGGCTGGGTCGACCAGGGAGTCAAAGTCATATTTGAAATATATGTCCGGCTCAGCCAGAGAGCTAACCCACAACCTTTCAATGCGCACTCGAGCGTCTAGCCGCTACGCTACGGCGACTTCCAATTCCAAACTTTAATCAGTACAATTAAAAATGCACATCTGGATAATAGAAAACGCATTATCTTTACGGCTGATAAGAACAAAGTAACACTTAACTAACATGGACAAACTGAGTCTAACATAACCCCCCCCCCCCCCCGCCCTCCAAACTATGTCTCGGAATTAAAACGTAAATGCAAGACATCGCAGAAACCAAACAACCGATCGAGACACACCCGTAACCTCCAGGAGAGACGACCAGCCCAACAAACTTGTGAATGAAAATTACCCTACTCTTATTGGGGAGAAACTAACGTGGATTAACCGAAATTTGCATTGTACTCTACAGAAGCATAGTATTCACAGCCTATGATATCAGAAAGTTACGACTGATAAGAACAAAGTAACATGAAAAAGTTATCGTACTTGCCAACTGCATGCGTCTTGTAACCGTGCTGTTTCAGTACTTGTGGGAAGAAGGTTACATTCTGTGGAACGCAGACGCTTTGACTTGGCAAGATCACGAAATGCTGTGGGAAAATGGCAACATGAACATAAGAAATTATACTGTTGTTGATTATGACAGAGTCCATAGATCTCTCTCTCTCTCTCTCTCTCTCTCTCTCTCTCTCTCTCTCTCTCTCTCTCTCTCCTCTCTCTCTCTCTCTCTTTCTCTCTCTCTCTCTCTCTCTCTCTCTCTCTCTCTCTCACACACACACACATATTCCCCCCCCCCCCCCCGAAGACCTTAAAGTGGAACACAATTTTATCTAAACACAATAGCGTTGCATCGTTTGCAGTAACCTCTGACCCTGCTTATCTACCCCTCCTCCTTGGGTCACTTCCTTTCAGCTATCTTACGTGAAGATTCCCAGTCAAAATGGACGCTAGGCAGGGCCACCGTTAGGAGCCGAGGCAACGAACGGTGGCCGGTGCATTTTTGCTACATTTGTAGACTGGATATAGTTTCGTCACCCAGCTTCTGGGGTGATTGCATGGCGTGACACTGTGAGCTGCAAATTTCATGTGGAATTTTTTTTTTTTAGACTGTGACCAACGTGGTGGTGTAAATTGTAGATTCAGAAAATGGCGCGATGCCTGTCGTGCAATGTTGGTGGTGTCTGTATGTGATTAGAATTCATCGCGTGGGCAGCTGCTGATCTGAAGGTGACTTCTGCTACCATCAATGATGAATTACATTTCTGATGTCGGATTGTTTGTGTTAGCACTTAGGGTGGATACTGTATGCAATTATGCGTGTGTATGTTAGATATGCTGTGACAGCAGTCTGTCAATCTTTCCGCAAGATACTGTGATAAACATGTGTGTTTTTCGTTAGCACAGGAGCTGAGAAAATATGGGGTGACCCGTTCGCTATGCAGCTGAAATTAAGACTACCAGACTACCCGACTATCTTACTTACGTAAACGATACTTTAGATCTTCTCTCCAGGCTATGCCGGCGTAGTGGGCAACAAACAAGAAGCTTGATTGGCTGGATCTTCACCACTGGGTGGTGAATTGATACATGACGAGGCAGATGTGGTCAAGGCAACGTAATCAGTAAAAGAACAAAATTATTATGGCCTGGAGAGAATGAGGCACCTGGGTGTAACCAGAGGCTCTGGCCGGCTCCCTGCACTCAGAGGAAAGGCAAGACGGACATTTAAGCGATTGTGAACAGACCATCAGTATTGGAACCATGCACTGGCTGCTGAAGATAAGGACGGAGTACCATGGGAATGCCCCGGGTGCTGTGATGTCAATTCTTGACTCAACTCAAATCAACTTACGTAAACGCAGAGTCTCTACTTTTCAAGCATGTGTGGGATTTTGTGAGAGACCTCGTGCTTTTGTCAAAGACAGAAAATTTTTTTAATTAAAAAAGCTCTCTCACTCTATCCTGGAATCGAAATCCAGGTCACCCAAATGAAAGCTAGGCGTTCTAACCGTATATGGCAAGTGTGCAGCTATTTATTTGGTCTAATTTTTACTAGTGTTGATTTTATCTGTGTAAGCTAAACAGTCGGCATTATATAGTATAGTCGTTGTGAACGCGCCCCTACATACACTATAAACGCTGATTATAACAGTCATTGGGCCCCAGCACAGGCTGGAGTTTGTCGGCCCATTCGACAAATACGTTATCAACTACGCAGAAGAAGACGGAACACCTGAACGACTCTTAAGGTACAAGAAAGTTGACCGACTCTGCAAAGAGATTAACGCAGCAGTGAGACAGCTCCGGGAGTCAAAGAGAAAGCAGGGCAAAAATGGCACACCGAATAGAAGTGGCAACCGCCAAATCTAAAGAGCCACAGAAAGAGCCCACCAAACAAGCCGCCATCTTTAATGACAGCCTTAAGCAAACAACCACCAACTGGACGGCGGGTCGACGTACCGGAGCCACTCCCACCCGCTCCGCCCCACTGGCAAATAACCACGTAATCACCATTGAACTAACCAAAATCTTAATCTAGTTTATTTTCAGAAAAAAGAAGACAACGGAAAATACCACAGGCCGCCCGACGTCCCGAAGCAGACAGCCGAGGGCATTGCACCAAAGGGGACCAGCACTTGGGAATTCCAGTCACCGTCATGCCACCCCACCCCACCCCACGTGTATGTTAACAATTGCCTTTCACTTTTATTTCAGACCAAGCGACCTCAGCCGACCGGGATGGATCCTGCCTCTATCTGTCACTCTCATTCTCCCGACCTCACTATCACATCTACTGGCACATTCGGGCAAACTGACCTCTCGTTTGCAGTCTATCTCACCTCCACTACTTCTCCACACTCCGTGAAAAAAAAAGGAAAAAAAAAAAAAAAAAAAAAAAAAAAAAAAAATTTTGTTTTTTTTTGGGCCGATCACAACAACAGATTGTGACGGCCCTGGTTGTCCTGAAAAGGAACATTGTTTGTATCGACGGAGCAACGGATATTTGTTTGGCTTTTTCCGGCGGCTTTTAGATCGGCAACCAAGCAGCAACAGGGCACCAGCACAGCGACCAGCACGAGGCAAACCAAGCACCAGCAACAGTCAGCTAGTACCCTTCAATATCATCGCAAAGAGATCTGGATCACACCAGAACCCAAAACCGCAAACAACGCAGCACAGCAAGGAAGAAAACAACCAAAATATCAGGTGTGTCTACACACCACAAATAAAAGGAAACCATATAAGACAGCAAAGGACCCTTCTTCGATATAGCAGGCCTCGGGGCGGCTGAAAGAGGATCAAGTTTGGAATTTTTCTTGGACAACTGGCAATGGCAATGGCTTATAATAATAAACATAATAATAATAATAATAAATACAATAATAATAGTAATAATTTTAATAGTAATGATAATTACTATAATATTAGTATTATTTTTATTAACAATAATAAACAAAATAATAACATTATAATAGTAATAATAATAATTCTAATAGTAATATTCATAATTTATTATTAATTTAAAAAAAAACCAGAATAATAGTAATAACCATAGTAGTAGGTAGGTAGTTGTACCCCACTAGGATATCACACAAGCGATAAACACCCGGTGACACAAAGATCCACCATGTGGATGAGGATCATCCGTGGAGAGGTCCCAGAATCCCCTTTCAGCCCTTAGGCCATATCTCTGGCTAGTCCATATCTATGTCCCGGCTATTTTCAGGGCTCCTAGCAAAAGCCAGGGTGGGACTTGAAATAACAAAAAATTGCATCTCACATGGGAACGACTTAGGCAGACTCAGCAATAGTAGTAATGATAATACGATTGGCACCTTTCCGTCTTTCCAGACGATAGTGTCATATTGCGCTATGAGGAGGCATGAGACTCACAGCCCATGGCGATGGCGAGTATGACTAGCAAGACCCGCCCGTGTCAAGAAACGTCTTCTACAATGCAGTTCCTCCTCTCCATAGCACAAAGCCTGGGCAGTATTGTAGAGACCATATGTTGCGCATACTTAATGATCTCTCTCTCGGCCTGCCTTGTTTACTCCAAAGGAAAGGTAAAACCAGTACTTTTAGGAATGATAATAATAACATAAATAATATTATTAAAAATACTAATAATAATAATAATAATAACAAAAGTAGTAATAATAACAATGATAATGATAATGACAATAATAGTATTAATGATAATGATAACAACAATAATGAACACTAACATATATTCACCTGCAGACCCAGTCGGAACGGGTAGATTCCGGTCATCAACGCAGTCCTTGACCTTTAAATGGAAGCGCCAAGGGCAGACAATTGGATGTTATAATCAACTTTTTACAAAATGCCTGGTTTACATATTATAACCAAAAATGGGCACTTTTTAAAAAACCACCCCACACAAAGGAAATCCAGGAGTTTCTGGAAAAGAATATCGTTCCACATAGGAGAGTCATCTTTAGAGTTAGGGTTATGGGTTGGTTTAGCTGGTGTCTCTGAGGCGGGCGGGTTGACAAAGGTCCTAACCCAAACCCAGCGGTTCTTAAAATTGTTTTCTTCTCGGCACTCTTGTCGGGCAAAAAAAATTTTCAGGCACACCTACCCTTAAAGCGGTTTGAATACTTGGGAAAGAAGAAAAAAAAAACAGTGCAATTGAATACTCAATTGTATTTAATGCGATGAATCAAGTTGTTTAGACGATTTTTTTCCTATTTCGTTTATGTATATTATTTAATTTAGATTTAATTTAGATTAGTTAATTTAACCCTCACATCAGTTGACCTATAAAGTTTGCTCCTGTATCTGTTTTTTTGTTTTGTTTTTTTGTATGCGCGATCTCCTGCAGCATGTATCAGTTCGGGTGCCAAGACACCTCCATGTCATGCAATAAGACTGTGATGAATCTTTTCTCGTTGTCTTCCTTTATCACTTCTTCCACATATCTTTCCAGTGGTCACAACATGCTCTATTTAACTGTATTTAATGCAATGAATGAAACTGTTTGGAGGAATTTTTTCATTATTGCCTTTATGTAGATGGGAAGATTAAATAATTTAACCCTCACATGACTTGACCCATACAGTTTACTCCTGTACATATATTTACATATATATATATATATATATATATATATATATATATATATATATGTGTGTGTGTGTGTGTGTGTGTGTATACAATTTTTTTATGTAAGCATACGTTGCTCTGTGGCTAAGTCGATGCGAACGCTTCGTAATGCCGGGATGCCGGGTTCGATCCCAGCTGCAGGCTATGTGCCTTGTGTTGGTTTCGACAGTGGTATCAAGAAAGCCGACCGTCCAGAGGCAATGGCAAACTACTGGACGTAAATTTGACTAGAAAAACTACACAACAGCCAGGGGCTGTTGGCGTTGGTTCTGCAACGTCCTGTAAAGGATACGCAAATAACAACAAGCGTACGTTGAGAATGCACTGCAGCCGTGCCAACCGCACTTTCTGAATACACCTGCAACCAGAACTCTTGTTGGCTTCCTTCGCGGGATTTCTGTTTCAAACCGCTGTCTTCGCTGATCTCAAATTTTACAGTTAAATATCTATCCACAGTATT